CCAAACAACCCTGTTTATAAAAAAAATTTAATTTGCTATTTATACTATTTTAAATAATTGTTTTATTAAACAAATAATAAAAAACATTTAAAAATATTAAAAAGTTGTTCTAATTTGCTTCCACTCCATTTCGAAATGTTAGTGGTCTATTTTAGATTAAAGGGTGGATGTCTTTGTAACGTTTTAACACCGTCATAGTGAAATGTTACATTCTTATAAATATTTTAACCTAAAAAACACTGATTATATTTTATGTTAGAAAGTTTAAACTATATTTTCTCTCTTAACAGCATATACAAGTGGTGCATAAATTGACATTAGGGGCAGGTCGATGCCACGCCCAAAGCCCACCCACCCTCAGTCTTCTCCAACCTAAAAAAAAATTTAAAAGTTATTTGAAAAAAGGTTTTAAATTGAGTTTATTGAAAAAGAGAAATTAGTATTCAAGATTATTTTACCATGTTAGTAAGGTTAGAGGTGTGTGCCACGCCCAATGCGCCCCCCCCCCTTCTTATTCAAACTTTAAAAAAAATGTCAATAAAAATTTTAAAAATGTTTTAAAAAATTGTGTAAAAAGAGAGACAACTTTACAAATCTTACCACCTTACAAAATGCAGGTTGGAGTATTCACCCTAAAAATTGGCCAAAGTTTTAAAACTTAAATTTTAAAAAGTTTTAAAATACAAAATATATATATAAATAAAACCACGCTCTCCTCCATGGTGATAACCCCTTATGCTCCCAGCACGCCTATTAGGAGGATGATAGGCCCAGCTGAATGATTTACCATCATTCCCTCTTAACCGAACCGATTGCAAAAATGACCTGTTTGCTAGTCGGTCCAGGGTGCTGGTCCCTATATCAATATATCAAAATAAATAGAATGAACGACTAATAAATCAATGAACGCATAACAAATGTTAATTAAAGTAAAAATTTAAACACTGCACTGGATTTTAATTGTACTGCGCTTTGAATTGCTTAATGTATTAATTAGTGTATAAAAATAAAAATAATTATTCAGAAACATTTATAAATCATAAATATACCAGCAGAAGGTTGTGGAGCATGTTGAGGAGGTTGTGGGACTAAAGGTAAAAAAAAGTTGTAAAAAAATCAAATTTTATTTGCAATTGATAAGAAAGGCATACACATCTTTGAAACAACATTTTTTATTTTTTATTTTTAAACATCTTTGCTTTC